GCCAAAAAACGTGTCTGTGAACCTGGGAAACTACTCCAGACTAGCTCACCAAGTACTGCGGCCTGAAAATTGCCAATTTTCCTAATGAGGCAGCTCTTACACCGTCTTTATATTCCTGGCCTTATTCTTTCGTGACTGTTTTCTGCTAACCCACTATTGAGCTTACTTAGAACTATTTCATCAGAATTTTCAAAAAACGCAGTAATTTAAGCGGAGCAGATCACGAGAAAGTGGCTTCACTAATGAGGCCTACAACAACGACGATACGATCAACAGCAGAAAGCAGCTGAGACTGAGTGAGTGTTTCTCGTATGAGGAGTTATCTCGATAAGTAATGCAGCCAGAAGAGCCACATTCCTCTCAACGAGGTCTTCCTTAGGGAGAACTGTTCTGGGCCTTATAAATTAGCCGAGAGTTCCGATGTGAGCCATCAAGGATTTTGATTGAGTGTCGATTTTACGGCGCATCCAAGCAAACCGACTACTTCCATATTATTTGTAAGATCATTGACCTCATTCACTCTTGAGCATTGACTGGAACACTGCACGAAATTGCCATTGCTTGTAGTGGAACAATCGCGCCACCAAAATGCCTCTAGAAAAGGAAGTTGGGCGTTGCCGCGGGGGGAAGGGGCGCGGTGGCCCTCGTCGCGAGCGGGTTGTGTGTTCCTCACGTTTTTTGAACTGCGAAAGTAGTACGTCCTCCATACTTGCGGACAGGACTATCTTGTCCAGAGTAGGCTCTGAACATCAAATGAACGCGGAGATCAGTCGGGCAGACTGGTCCTTAACAAAGTGCCTCCCCACTGGTCGGATCATTTGTCTGTGATGCAGAGAGGAACAAGACCCAATGGTCGGACTAACACCGCCCATACAAGCAGCGTAGACTCTGCCTTTAGAGTAGTGCGCTAATGAGCCTTGTGAGGCACACTGAAGAGCTTGGCTAATTTTGGGGAATACTCGGTAAAAAATTGAAACAAAAGACATACAACCGTTTCACTGAAGTCAGCCGGTGTGGTGCGGTCTGCGGTGCGTGGGATTCAGTGCGGCACCAGCTCCTTTCACACCACTCATTTAACGCCCGTAGTCGTAACGATCGATGGGAAACAGGCTGGCGCGGCGCCAAAAGCCAGGCCCGCTGACACGCCCCGATTGACTTCAGTGACTGCACACGTGCTTCCTCAGGCACACCAAGAGTCACACGCATTCGAAAAATTTTGTAGAGTGCGCCTTGGAATCGTACTGCCTACGTATTACACCGTAGATTGAATCCCTCCCAACATAATAAAGCTCTCCTATGCATAAAAGGGCTTGGAAAAGACATGCTGTTATAGATGATTGTAATTTTAGATGATTCTGTTCGAAGTTTCACACCGGTCGTGATCAACATCAGCGAGGATGCAGAAACGTCGTTTATCGAGTGAGTTCATCAGGGGCATTCACTCTCATTTATAACTTACGTTCGGAACTTCACGAAAACAGAACGTTCGCACTATTTTTGATAGTCATGGCACTGTTCCGCTCAAGGGCGGTTAGGGAGGGATGGATTAGAGAGCATTTCACACTTTCGCCGGTTTCCTTTTCTAGTTCCTAACAGGTTTACATTGGAGAAATCTGTAAACTCTTGAAGCTAAGGAATGGTACAAGTGACAGGAACTTGCGGGTTATCACAAGGTGGCCTCTTCAAGCTCTGCTGAGTCCATCTGGTGCCCCCTCCAAGCCGAACTGCGCCCATAAGCACTTATATCTTTACCTTACTTACCATCTTCTTAGTAACTGAAATTACTTACAGTTTGTTCCTTTCCGTCATTTTCGATGAGTACTCACTCTCAGATTACTTATTTGCCCATTCACTCAGCAAGTGTAAATAAACTCAAATCAGATTTCTCAGCGAAACATTCAATTTACAACGACTATTCCCCGGCACACTCGTCGACGGGGTAGGGGGAGCATTTTGTACCTTAACTGCTTTACCGGTTCCAGTTCACAAGTTGCGCTCTGGTGAAACTTGTAAAGTCTTGTGAACCTAGCAAGTTCGTCTAGCCTTGTGAGGCACACTGAAGAGCTTGGCTAATTTTGGGGAATACTCGGTAAAAAATTGAAACAAAAGACATACAACCGTGTCACTGAAGTCAGCCG